TTTTTTTTTGCGGTACGTGGGCCTCTCACTGTCGTGGCCTCTCCTGCTGCGGAGCACAGGCTCCGGACGCGCAGGCTCAGCAGCCATGGCTCACGGGCCCAGCCGCTCCGCGGCATGTGGGATCTTCCCGGACCGGGGCACGAACCCGTGTCCGCTGCATCGACAGGCGGACTCTCAACTACTGCGCCGCCAGGGAAGCCCTCCCTGAAATTTTTTAAATTCATTAAATCATTCCTCTGATCAATAATCAACAACACCCTATTGCTTACAGGGAATAAAAATAAAAATTAATTCAAGCCATTCAGAATCTAGCTAAAACCTTGGTCTCCAGCCTGCTTCTGCTGCAGCTGCCCTCCCCAGCCAGGCTGCTGTGTTGGCTTTTGCCCACAGACATGCCTTGCTCATCCTGCGCCTTTGCCCTGCTCTCACCCCATCGCAATACTATCCCTCTCTTTACTTATAGGGAGACTGAGAATAAAATTCCAACCTGTCATGGCCTACGAGGTCCTCTGGGACCTGCCTTCTGCTTATGCCTCCAATTACGAATGCAACCACTCTCGCCTTGCTCTCTTCTGTTCCTCCAATAGGGAAGTATTTTCTTGCCTGCAGATATTCACGCTTACTCTGACCACTACCTGGAACGTTCTTTCCTTAGCACTTTTCGAGGCTGGCTCCTTCCCATCTTCGGGTCTCATCTCATCCGATCAAAGTAGATCTGTATAAAGTAGATCCCCCACCCCATTATGAGTGATCATAATATACTTTTAATTCCTTCAAAGCACTAAGAACAATCTGTACTTATTTTATTCATTTATTTGTCTGCTGTCTTTCCTCTTTCCCCCAACAGGATGGAAGCTCCATGAGGGCTGTACTTGATCTATCTTATCTCCTCTTTACCCCGCAGTGTCCAGTACAGTGCTTGACAAGTGCTTGACAAATACGTTTCATGAACGAACGAATGAATGAATGAATAGTTCCTCCATAGTTTCAAACTCCAGCTTAAATCCCCACTCCATAGTGAATGATGATAATAGCTTATATGTATTGAGTGCTTACCTTGTTCCAGTGGTTACATATATTATCTTACTTGATGAGCCCCCTTCTCTTCACTCCCAATTTACCTCCTGTAATCCACATAGTTATTATTCAGGCCATGCAATTTAGCCTCTTGCTTTGTTATTTAATATATTCCTCTTTTTGCTCCAGTGAAATAAAAATTCTTAGTGCTCCCCCATAGCATACAGAGAGTGCTCAAAGTATGCTGAGCGGCTGAAAATGGCCCCCCAGGGTTATAACATTAACATAATAAGAATGTTGATAAGTTGTCTTTATTATAAACTTCAAACTACTCATCCACTCATTTAAACTTCGAATCTAACTCAGCTTGCAAGTGGACAAACTCTATTCTACCTGTCGAAAGACATTCTAAAATGCCAAAAATGGTTAAGGCAAGACAGTTTGCGTTTTGAGGTAGAAGACACGCAGTTCAACACCTCATTTTCCAGAAGAATTTCCTAAAGTCTTAACTTTCTAGAAAGGATTGTCTAGTCTGTCAAACATGCTTGCAAAATCAAGTTATTTCACATTGAGAAGCCATAAGAAAAGTTCCTAGCATTGTGTTGACTGTTGGGTTTTGAAATATCTGCTTTGCAGTGTTGTGGAATCCCCAGCTGAAAAGCCGTCCAGTCCCTTTGCACATCTAGGCAGTGGCCTGAGGAAACTGGAATCTATCCTGATGGAGATGACAGGGAAGAGGATCCTCCCAAACTCCTCTAGATGCTTCAGCAGTCTAGAAAATTCTATTCCACACCCTACTCCACATTTTGAGCTCAGATCAAAAGGAGCATCCCTAGACTCCAAGGAGTCCTTCCGTCGCTGTAAATGATGACCTCAGGGGCAGTCTGCTCTGGTCACCCCAACTGGGTGTGACCCTCCCCAAGGCCAGCAGTAAGCTTGGAGTCCCCAAGGGCCGTTGTTTCCAGCACTCTATCCTTGAGAGTCATAAGAGTCATCGCTGAAAACTTCTCGGGCTCTGCACAGACCCAGTAGTGATTTTCTTCTTGAGTTCCACCCTAGAGCAGATGTGTACAGTCAAAAAATGTCGCCCAACCTGTCTTTCCCCATCTTACAAGTCAGCTGGAAGCACCCGTCCTACTGGGTGTCATACTGGGTGTCCTTCCTTGAAGAGAACCTCCCCCTATTAGAAAGGTGTCTTCTCTTAATTAAATCTTAAACTTGACAGATCCAACTGTTCATCGCAGTAGAGTCTGGGCAATGCTTTACCAAGGATTCTGTTTGTTAGCTTCTTCAGTGGCCAGGGATGTAATTAAATTAAATGCCGTCGTTCTAATGACATACATTTTCTGTTCCAGCTGCTTGAAGTTCCTTCTCTGCTTAATAGTTTAGCAATTATCTCTTTGGCCACCACTTACCTCCCCTGGGAATGGCCTGCCAACATGACCTGTACTCCTGACATTTTAGAGGAGTAAATTAGGAAGAACTCCTGCCATCTCAAGTAATGTCATGATGTGGCTTATTTATTTATTTATCAGAATGCAACATGGCTATCTCTTCTCACTTTAAATTAGGACTACTGGGGACAGGCACCATCAAGGTGGCCATCATTTACCAGAACGCCAGTTTTCAAAATTCTTAAATGTACAACATTCCGTAGTATAGACATTGTAAGAGGGAGACAAACTTTGTCATGATCCTGCAAAGAAGGCTAGTCTTGGGCAGAGCAAAGGCCTCGCATTCCCTCAAGGGCTCAAATTTAGATCCTGACATTATCTAAAGTGAGACTGTACAGTACCAGAGATTGCGTGTGTTAATAAATCATTTATCAAGTGTAAATAAACATTTTAAATACGCCACAATGTAATCCTGCTTTTGTATTGCTTTGTTTATGTGTTCATTTACAATATCAGAGACGGAAAAAAAAAAAAGTTGTCTGAACCAGTCCCAACCTCTCGGAGGTCATGGCTCAGGGACCCACGACTAGTGGGGTCGGGATGAAAGGGGGACTTGGAAGGCGGGGTTTGGGCAGCAGGAGTTTCAGGGCCAGCTCCCAGGCCTCGGTGATTTGGGCTCTGCGCTCCCGCGGAGGCTCAGGGAAAGCGCTGCTAGAGTCAAACGGGCCCCGCGTAGCCCTGCCAACCCCGCCACCACCTGGAAGAGAGCATCCGGCGAAGCAGCCGCGAGACGCAAAATGGGGCGTGGCCGTGGGCGGAGTGGGGCGTGGCCTCGTGGGGATGGGGCGGGGCCGCGGGCGGCGCGAAGGAAAGGCCGGGGCGGGGACACAGTGGCTGGTCTGGCGCGAGGGATGGTGTCAGGCCCTACCCCCACCCCCCCCCCCGCTGGGAGCGCCAGAGGTGACCTCGGCCTAGCGCTCCTGCTCCGGGCGGGGCCGGCGGCGGCGCCTCCAGGCCGTGGGCGCCAGTGGCCTGCTAGCGCCGGAAGGGCCGGGCCTGCGCGCTCCAGGGACTTGCGGGCCGACGGCGCGGGCGCGGGCCCGGCGGGAGGGGCTACGGCTGATCTGTTTTTCGTTTCCTCTTACACCCGTTCTCAGTGTCCTCCTGAACACCGGAAGGTGCAGCGGCAGGGCTACGGACAGACCCACCCACTCTGCCCCTCTGTTGTGTGGCCACGAGGACGCCCATTCCTCTCTGGACTCCACCCATTAAAGCGGTTTCAGGGTACGCATATATGGCCATCTGTCCCCAGAGTGAAAAGTCGGTGTTTAACCGTTTAGAAATGGGAACTTTTGGAGAAGGAGAAACACTCCCATGGGGCAGAGGAGTTTCCTGGGGAAGAGGCATAAGGAACTCACGGGTCCTCACTCGAGAAGCACCTCTTTACAGGTCCCCCGAGCGCGCAGGCCTGGCCCTTCTGGCGCTAGGAGGCCACCGGCTCTAGGAGGCCCCTGGGGTGCAGTTTGACAGGCCCCGGACCCCTGGATTTACCCCTTCCAGAGTTCGGGATGCTCGTCTGGGAACAGCTTAGGGGCCGTGCGGATTTCATCCACTTTAACAGCTTTACGTCCTGATTTTTGTCTCCCATTTAGCTCTTCGGCTCTAGATGCAGAGCTTCTCAGGGTTGGCTGGAAGCCACAGCCCAGCCTCCTGATGCAGTCTGAATCCAGCCGGTGTGAAGAGGAAACTCCTTCCCTCTCGTGGGGTTTGGATCCTGTGTTTCTAGCCTTCGCCAAACTCTACATCAGGGATATCCTGGACTTGAAGGAGTCCCACCAGGTGCCAGGTATGTGGCTGGTCGGCCTGGTGTGCTGCTCTGTGCTGCATCTGCACCCCACCCACCCTTCCCCAAAGCTACAGAAATCTGGGGCTTAGGGGCTTAGCAGAGCCTTTCCAGCTGCAGGCTTTGAAATTGACATAACCTGGATCCTCAAACAAGTTCATTTCTGTGCAAGTAAAAGCAGTCTCTTTTTTATTTTTTAAATAGATGCTTGGGGGAGTAACTTGGTACTGAAGAATGTTTTTTACCTGGGTTTGAGGTCTTTCATATTTAAAAATACTCAGTTTTTCTCTGGACCTGCTTGTGGTGGAAAGCTCAGGCCTTGCTCCCTTTCCTAACTTCACCACTTACCTGGCCTGGGCATGTGACTCACCTGTAAAGTTTAGGTGTCTTCATTGTAAAATGAGGATTAACCGTGCCTGATTTTCTTGTGGGGTTTGGTTTTATTTTGAATAGATGAGAATCAAAATAAAATAAACTCCTTGAGAGGAAGGACATCATGTGCCTTGTTCATCTATGTAATCCCAGCACTTAAACAGTGCCTGGCCTCTGGTAGGCTCTCAAGTAGTAGTAATTGGAGCAACAAAGCATTATAAATGTAAAGTTAAAGAAATCATTTTTTTAAATTAGAGTGGTGGTCACTAAAAATAGGATCTTCATACCCCCAAATATAGCAAATATAGTTTAGGGTAAATTTAAGTAATTTACATAGTTGTGGATGTATCTTCACATGTTTACTGTGCTATATGAGAAGTTTGGTTAAACTCTCTTTGCTGTTTTGAATGAATAGAAAGCTATGAGTCAGAAGTAGTTCAGAATCTCAAGCATGCAGTTTTAATGAGACCACATTTTGTGTGTTTCCCGTTCTATGTACAGATATATTTGGATGACCTTATACTAAAGCCTTTTGTACAGATTTTTCACCACACCTTCATTTTCTAAGTATTGTTGGAAATGATCTGGTTTTTTCCTTGGAAGGCAGCCATCCTCCCCCACTGTTGTCTGTTTTCCAGAACAGTCTGGTAGTCTTCATAGCTCATCTCCTCAGGAAGAAATTAATTCACACCAAATGCCAGGCTTGCGTAAAGATCTTCTGTAGGTACTCAAGGAAGTATCAGGGATGCTATAGGAGCTTAACTCTTCCTGTGGGTGAAGAACTGTATAATGTATTAACAACAAACCAAGGAAAACTTCTCCCAGTGATCTTTGTTATGTCGCTGGTGGTAATGTTTCAGATATAGTTTTTAAAATGAAACTGTTGTCAAACCCCAGTTTGTGTGCCTGACACACAGTGAGTCCAAACAAACCAAAACGTTGGAGTTTGGAGCAGAGAGAGGTTTATTGCAAGGGCCAAGCAAGGAGAACAGGCAGCTCAGGCTCAAAAAACCCGAACTCCCTCATGGTTTTCAGGGAAGAGTTTATTTATGTATGTATGTATGTATTTATTTATGGTTGTGTTGGGTCTTCATTGCTGTGTGTGGGCTTTCTCTAGTTGCGGCGAGCGGGAGCTACTCTTCGTTGCGTTGCACAGGCTCCTCATTGTGGTGGCTTCTCTTGTTGCAGAACATGGACTCTAGGCACACGGGCTTCAGTAGTTGTGGCACACAGGCTTAGTTGCTCCGCGGCATGTGGGATCTTCCTGGACCAGGGCTCGAACCCACGTCCCCTGCATTGGCAGGCGGATTCTTAACCACTGCGACACCAGGGAAGTCCCCCCTCAGAGTAGAGTTTTTAAAAGCAACATTTGGGGTGAGGGCTACAGGGTTTATGACCTTCTTCTGATTGGTTGGTGGTGAGGTAACAGTGTGGTATTCCAGGAATTTCAATCATCAACCTTCTGGTTCTGACCAATCTGGGGTGTCAGCTTGTAGTTACCATACTCCACCTGGGTGAGGGTCTCAGTTCCTGCAGAACAACTCAAAGATGTATATCAGACTATTAGGTATATCCCTTGAGGGGGAACTAGAACTCTGATTGCTGCACTATTGTTTCTTGACTGCTTTTTCTTTGCTTCTGCATTCCCTCACTCCCCTAATTAGTAACTACTTGAACCTGCCCTTTGGAACTCATGGAGGTCTAGGATCCTGAAGCCTTTTTCCTACAAAAAAGAAACGATGGGGGCTTCCCTGGTGGCGCAGTGGTTGGGAGTCCGCCTGCCGATGCAGGGGACATGGGTTCATGCCCCGGTCCTGGAAGATCCCACATGCCGCGGAGCGGCTGGGCCCGTGAGCTATGGCTGCTGAGCCTGCGCGTCCGGAGCCTGTGCTCCACAACGGGAGAGGCCACAGCAGTGACAGGCCCGTGTACCGCAAAAAAAAAAAAAAAAAAAAGAAATGAGGGACACGGAAATGCTTTTGTATCCAGGAGGGCCCTGCTTGGTTTCAAAACCTCATGGTTGAAGAAGACATTAACCATAATTTCATAGAGTGATCTTCTTTAGACTATATTCTAGGGTTCTGAGGGGTGGGAAATGCTACTAGTTTAGGTTTTTATTTTTGTATTGTTTTGTTGTTGTGTTTGGTTTGGTTGTCATAAAAAAAAAGTAAACCTTTTATTTTGACTGCATAAAATTTAGAAATGTTTAAACAGCAAAGAATATCTTACACACACAAAAAGAAACAAATGTGTAATGAAGAATTTGGCTGGCCTGTGTTCGAGGTTCCTGGAAGATGTTTGGATTTCTGGAATGATAGGAGTGTTTTTGTTATTCATGGTGGACCCCTTGAACCACATCTGAGTTTATGCTGATGAGGTGCCTCATGCTGGGCCGCTAGGTAGTTTCAGGGTGGGGGCCTTTCAGGCCTGAAAAACCAACCATGTGATTAGAGGGTTGGCTTTGAGCCAGGTGACATCAACCCAACCCCGCAGGAGGGGAGGGGAACTGGAGATTGAGTTGTCAAGTGGGCAGTGATTCAGTCAATCTTGCCTATGTAATGAAACCCTAATTAAAACTCTGGACATTGAGGCTTCGGTGAGCTTTCCTGCTTGGTAATCATACTTGATGTGTCAGGGTGATGTGTCCTGAGGACATGGCAGCTTTATGCTTAGACTCTCCTAGACCTTGTCCTATGCATCTCTTCATTTGGCTAGTCCTGGTTTGTCCCCTTCATTATAAAACTGTAATCTTAAGTATAGCACCTTCCTGAGTCCTGTGTGTCATTCTATTAAAGTATCAAACCTGAGGTTGTTGTGGAGGGTGTTGGTAGCCAGTTGCTCAGAAGTGTGCATGGCCCGAGGACCCTCAAACTTGGGGCTGATGCTTGAAGTGAGAGTCTCTTGTGGGAGACAGTGTCCTTAACCTGTGAAATTCAACCTTACCCTGGCTGGTTAGCGTCTGAATTGCCTTGCAAAGTGGTTGTAGAATGTCAACTTCCCGAAATTAACCTGTGAATTTAGAGTTAAACTAATAGAATATCGTGAAGTTTGACTGTGGTGGTTTGGTTAGGGATGTGTCCCCCGTGTCCCCTGCACTGGCAGGCGGATTCTTAACAACCTCGCCACCAGGAAAGTCCCAAAAGTACTTTTAAAAAAGAGAAAAAAGGTAGATGTCTTGCTATGGGTGTGGCTGTCACTGCTGTGAAAGTTGAATCAAAGGTACCTGTGACCCTGGGTCCCTGAGCCCTTCCAGAGTGACCCTCCTCCTTCCTGGGGACCTGATGATCCAGGGGATGGATACCCTGATATGGTTGGAGCTCTGTAGGCTGCATGTGGAACAAAGGCAGCAGGAGTGAAAGGACCACTTGGGAAAGGCTGCAAGTTAAACTCAGCATTAGCCAGTATCTGTTGTTATTTTCTTTTCTTAGCTCATCAAGCTTTCTCTCAGTCGATAGAGCTGCCATCCAGCTTTCTCAAGTTCTTTTCCCATAGAGGAGATTCTAGTGTGAAGGAAGTGGTTCTCTCCATTGCTTTTTCCATGTCCCCCTTTTTTATTTTTGTTTTTTTTATTTTTTGGCCACACTGTGCAGCATGTGGGATCTCAGTTCCCTGACCAGGGATCAAACCTGCACCCCCTGCATTGGAAGCGTGGAGGCTTAATCAGTGGACCACCAGGGAGGTCCCATCCATGTCCTCCTTCTTCTTGTTCAGGTTGTGCTTCTGACGTGTATAGTTCAAGTTTCTATACACTGGGGCAACTTTCTTCTCTGTTTCCAAGCAGTTTATATCCTCCTCAATCAATTTTCTCTTTGTGATTTTATTCAAACCATCTGGTATTTTCTGCTAACTTGTCCTCCATTGTTCTTTTTGTGTTGCTTTTATGATGTTTTTCCTTGTTTTTTTGCATCTTTGAGCGACTCTCTCCTTGAAGACGAGCATTGTCAGTCTATGAGATGAAAGTTTAGGGGCTTCCTTGGTGGTGCAGTGGTTAAGAATCTGCCTGCCAATGCAAGGGACACAGGTTCGAGCCCTGGTCCGGGAGGATCCCACATGCCGCGGAGCAGCTAAGCCCGTGCGCCACAACTACTGAGCCTGTGCTCTGGAGCCCGTGAGCCACAACTACTGAGCCCACGTGCCACAACTACTGAAGCCTGTGTGCCTAGAGCCCATGCTTCACAGCAAGGGAAGCCACCGCAATGAGAAGCCTGCACACCGCAACAAGGAGTGGCTCCCACTTGCCGCAGCTAGAGAAAGCCCTCACGCAGCAGTGAAGACCCAATGCAGACAAAAATAAATTTAAAAATTAAAAAAAAAAGTTTAGGGGGCTCCCTTTTCTTTTTTCAAGAAAGTCTACTGTGTCCTCCAGTGGAGGCCTGTTCAGGTTTTTTCAAGTGTTGCCCAGTGCAGAGTTGGTAATGTTGGAGGACTGGCGTCTACCACAGGTGACTTGACGACTTTGTTGGCTTGTGTCGTCAGTCCAGTCTTCTCTGTATACTTGCCTTTTCTGTATACTTCAGCCAAGGCAGAACACCTTTTGGCTGGCTCTTTTCCCCTTCTTAAAGCGTGTGGGCTCTTCATTATAAAAACCACCATAGCGGCACATACCAGGGTGTCCCAGGAAGACCCAAAGAATCCTGGGGCTTGTCTCAAGCTTTCAACATCACCAGTAGAGCACCCCACAGTGGCTTCTGGACCAGCTGGAAAGACTCTTCAGGGGCAGGCAGCAGGCCCTCCATGGGTCCACTGGGCCTCCCGCTGCCGGTGTCCTGGGAGCCACACCAGCCACGCAGAGCCCTGTGGGGTGTACCGCCTCTGATGGTACCAGGAGCACACTGTCTCTAATGGCCGGCAACCAGCACAGACCATCAGTTAGGCTGGGGGAGACAGAGGCCAGTCAGGTTCTAGGAAAGAGCTCTCTCTAACTTGGCTCTGCTCAGCGCACAGATAGAAAGTCCAGCGCATTTGGGGAAGTAGAAAGGGCTGACTGCAGCCAGAGACCAGTCTGGAGCTCAGGCCACCCTCATCCCCCCGCCCCAGCCCCACAGCAAAGCTGGACCAAAGCAGGGCCATACCATAGCCCGTCTCTGCACACAAGCGTGTCAGGGCATGATGGTGGGGCACACTTCAGCACAGGATGCCATGCCCCTGACCCTGGCGTAGGCTCATTCTCCCCATTTAAACTTCCCTTCTGCTGCAGTAAGCCCGAGTCTGCCAGCAAAGGTCCTATGGGGGTCACCCTCCCCTGAAGGTGCCCTCTCTCCTTTGTGTCTGATCAGTGCAGGCAGGCAGGGCTGGAGGACTGAGGGTCTCCCCACAGGTCATCACAGGGTTTCAATGGTAAGAACTCAGGAGAAGTCAGTCAGAACTGTCCTGCTCTTAAGATTTCATGGATCTTCTGTGGAACCAGTTTGACCCTATTCAGTCCAAGTGTTCCTGGAGGGAAGCGATTCTGCTCCGGGGGTGACACAGGGACCCAGGCTCCTTCCCTCATGTGGCTGTGCCGTTTCAGCTCTTGGCCCCCAAGGTTGCCCTCTGCACGGTCTCCAGTCCACTAAGTCATCTTTAGAAGTTTGCCTCTGCTAGGGGGAGGGCCTGGGTGAATTTGACATCTTCAAACCACGTCTCACTCCCCTGGAATCTCTGGCTAACTGAGGCTCAGAAGCTCCTTGTCCATCCCCTGGGGACTCGGGCGATTGGTCCCCAGCCCCTTTACCCACATGGGAAACAAGAGAACCATCAGTGGAGGCCATTCTGGGGGTTCTGAAGGGCTTCAGGGTTCAGGCTGCGGGGTCCCCTCCCCCCATGGATGTGGAGAAGACAGACTCTGACCAGACTTGGCGAGGACCAGAGAGGGTGAGGGTGGCCAAATACCTGAAGTGATGACTGATTCTTTTTTTTTTTTTTTGTGGTACGCGGGCCTCTCACTGTTGTGGCCCCTCCCGTTGCGGAGCACAGGCTCCGGACGCGCAGGCTCAGTGGCCATGGCTCACGGGCCCAGCCGCTCCGCGGCACGTGGGATCTTCCTGGACCAGGGCCACGAACCCGTGTCCCCTGCATCGGCAGGCGGACTCCCAACCACTGCGTCACCAGGGAAGCCCATGACTGAGTCTTTGTTTGCAATTCATGTATTTATTTGAAAAGGAAGTCGCCATTTAAAAGTTTATAGCCTCTTTCTGAAAGTAAAGAATTCGGTCATCGTAGGGAGAAAAAAAATGGCTGGAGAGGATTTTAGTCCAGACTCTTTAGCTGCAGGTGACAGGAACACAACGCAAGTAGCTTAAGCCCAAAGAGGCAGTTCAGGTAAGGATGTTGGGGGCCCCACGGGAGCCGGGACAGCGCTGGGGTCTCGGATGGGAATTGAGGGCTCACCGCTGCCAGGAGTCCCTCTGTTCCATCTCCGTCATGGAGTCCAAAAAAGGCCTCCGGGAGTCGGTGGGTAGGGTTCTTCCTCTCACGCTTCTCCTCTGGCGGGAACCTGCCTGCTGGCATCTGTTGCCTAGGCTTTGAAAATAGAATTTTAAAAAGAGAAGTTTTTGAGTCGTAATCTACTGGCCCCAAAGGGTAGTGTTTTGTAACCTAATCATCTTCTCTTTTTCTTAAAAAAAAAAAAGTGCTATTGCTAATTCGTAGAAATGATGACTGGTTTCCTAGAAAAGCCAGAGAAGCCTTTTCTCGTGGTTTCCTCTCTTTCCTTTTCCAGTCCCTCAAAATACAGTACTGTGTTGTGTCTCATAATACTGCGGCTGTTTTTAGGCCCTTATGAGAGTTCTACAGGCAGGTGCATTTCATTCTCACAAGTGGAAAGAAGATTAACCACATCTAGTTAGACAATATTGGTTTTCTCTTTTCTGTGCTAGTACAAGCTTCTTTAAAGCCACACTTTCTACTTATAACCCTTGAGGAAAAGACATCTGAATTTCTTGGGGTTTGGCATTTGTCAAGAGCTGATTCTTAAGTCTGAAATTTTAGCAAGCAGCATGCCACTGATTTTTGACACAGTTAACATTTACTGAAGCAGAAAATGTCATCATACGTTATATGGACTTTGCCTTTTTTTCCCTTTAATTTCAGGTATATTTTTTTACAGTGGGCATCCAATAAAACAGGTAGATATCTTGGGAACTGTAATTGGAGTGAGAGAAAGAGATGCTTTCTACATTTGTGGAGGTAAGAACAATTGTGTCTGACATTGAGTTTATGTGGAAGGACCCCACTTAACTGGACATTGTATTTGAAGCAACCCCAGCCTTTCAGAGCAGCTGGGGCCTCTCATAACCCCCATGCACTTGTCCTCTATTGGGAACCATTTGCAGCCACCAACATGGACTAAGTGTAAAATGAGGCAACGGGTGGGAATGATACTGATGAATATTGTCAGGTGACAGCTGCTGGGGAGCTAGGAGGCAGAAGAATTAAACTACAGTCTAGGGTCACTGGTTGATCAGGGACAGATACCTGATACCTAGGGCATAGCTATAAATAGCAAAGGATGGTGATATATGTTTATATTGATACCTTTAAAATAAAAAGGCCAGATTAACATTAAAGTAGACTCTTTAAGAAGACAAGGAGATATGAAAAATAATTTATAAGATTTATATCCAGAACAGTTAAAAAAAAAAAAAAAAGCTTTTTGGTACCCAAAGGGATAAATATCCATTATCAGAAAATTTCCCTTCCCTTTTGATGATAGAAACTAAATAAAGGGTTTCTGTAGTTTGGACACCAGTGAACTATTAGGATATGATTTTAGTGTCATGGGTCTTGACTTTTTTTTTGCATTGAGTTTAATGTAATCATTTTAATATATTGCCTAAGATTCTCTGTAGTTGAGGCCAAGCTGGATATTTTGTGGGAAGCTTAACTTTGAATTCCAACCTTTGCTATAATTGACATTGTCACTTTTTGTTGTATTCACTTGGATTTGTATTCTTTTTCTACTTGGGGAAAAACAGAAGGCAGTTGAACTAGGTGACCAAGAACATTTCATTGGCAGTCTGTGCATGACTGATAATTTACAGATACAATTTCTTCAACATATATTCATTTTCCTGGGGATGATTGTCTTGTGCTTATAAAATAACATGTGAGAGATGAGATTTCTCATGCCCTCTGCTTTTTCCCAGCTTGTATTTTTTTAAAACTCTGAAATAGATCACCTTGTCATGCATCCCCATACTGGATCTCTTCTCTGCTTTATTTTACCATAGATACTGGTTCTCTTTTTCTCCAGGCAGTTCAACAAACATTCACTAAGTTCCTACAGCATACCCAGCTGCTGGCAAGTACGTTATCTGTACTTCCTCTCCAAGTACCAGTGATGAAATGATAGTATCTGTCAGTTTACAGAGCACTTATGCATGCATAATTTCATGTTATTCTCCTCCCAGTCTTTTGAAATGGAAAAGACAGATTATTATTTCCATTTTATAGATGAGAAAACTAAGGTTCAGTTACTTGCTCAAGGTTCCACTGATGGGTCCAATCTCTTTACTAACTCCAGTGTGCTGTGTAGTCTCCATAGAACTCAAATTCTAAAAGAAAAAGAGATTTTTATATCAGTGTTACTCAGGGGCTGGGGGCAGGGAGGGATGAATAGGTGGAGCACAGAGGAAGTTTAGGGCAATGAAACTATTCTGTATGGTTCTGTAATGGTGGATGTGTGTCATTATACGTTTGACCAAACCCACAGGATATACAACACCAAGTGTGAACCCTAGTGTAAACTATGGACTTTGACTGATAATGATATGTCAATGTAGATTCATCAATTGAAACCAATGTACCACTCTGGTGGGGATGTTGGTAATGCGGAAGCTATACGTGTGAGGGGGCAGGGGATAATGGGAAACCTCGGTATCTTCTGCCCACTTCTGCTGTGAACCTAAAACTGCTCTAAAAATAAAGTCTATTAAAAAGTTTTTTTTAAAAAAAGATTTTTCTCTGTCCCATGCCCCTCCTCCCCCCCCCCCCCCCCCAAAATCAGCTGCATCTGGTTTTTAATTTTCTGATTTTTAGATCAGAATGAGGCTATTTGAGGACATCAGTCCTGGCTGCAGAACCAGGCCAGATATAATCTGGCCTGCAGAAAGAGGCCAGATATAATGCCTCTGACCTAAAGGGGTTTCATTTAACCCCTTTTCCCTTCATAAAGAGATGAAGGCAATATGGCTGACTCTTCCCCAATAAACATTTCTCTTAGACTGGATGTCGTGAGAGCATGGCACATCTGTGGTTTGTGGGGAAATGAAAAGCGTCTGAAGGCTGAAGTAATTGAGAGTATAAACACTTGGGACTTTAATTCCTGTGAGGCCTGTTCAAGAGAGAGCTGCACATACCCTGCTGTTCTCAGGCCCAGCTTGGCTCTCGGACCACCTGCCAGGTGGCTACTCCTGCTGTCCCAGGTCCTCTTCCTCCTGACTCACTGCAGGCCTATATGCTGGGGTTGCTTCCTGCTCACCCTGATTCGTCCCATGGCTGAAACAAAAGGCCGGCAGCCCAGGCCATGCTGCCCAGCTAGGGAGGACACTGCCCAGCATGGCAAGAACACTCCCCTTCCAGGGCCTTCCAGTAGCCAGGCCTCAGGATGCCAGGGCGGTGTCTGCTGGGAGAGGTTACCAACCAGGAAGTCAGAGAGTTTGGTGGCAGTGCCCTGAGCACACAGAGCACCTGGCAGCAACTCAAGCTCAGACCTAGAATCCTGGGAGACTACAGTCAAGACCAGAATGACCTCACATTTTCTAGAACAAATACTCATGTGCCAATATTTTTTGACTTAGAATTATAAGGCAAAATTTTAAACTGGCCAGAGAAGTAGTGTGCCTAGAAGTGTCATACATTATTTTTTAACTCAAAATGTCCTTATTGATTTTTTTTTTGCTTCTTAAAATGATACTCACTATAAAATAAAATTTAAAGCTAGAGAAAATTTTAATGAAGTACATAAAGCTCATGTGAAATGCTGTAAATCAGATAAAAACAATATCAGTGTTTAGGTGAACATCCTTCCTAGTTTTTCTAACATGTTCCTAATATGAAGAAATATAGATATGCCTTATTTCTTTCTGTTTTTAATGTTTCTGGAATTAGGCTTACAGTCAATGTATACATTGAATATGGGGTTCCTTCTACATACTCCAAAAGAAACTGCTATTAGCATTTTAATGTCTTAAGGTCATTTCTGTCAAAACACACTATTTAATGTTTTACATAAATTAGCTTATATATGATATATATGACTATATATATATAATTTCTGTTTTGCAATGAGATTAATAGCAATGACCATGGATCTTCATTATAACTTTGTATTCTCATATGCCATGCCATTGTAATTTATTTAACCACTTATATATTTATAAACATTTAGGTTATTTCCAACTTCCAGAACTATAAACAATATTATAATGAACAGCCTTATACAAAATATATATATCTGTGCATTTGTTCCATTTTTCTCTTCAGGATAAATTACTGGAAGTAAATACTAAGTCAAAGGATATAAACATTTCAAAATTTGATAGACATTTCCAAACTTAGTCTTTAGAAATTTGGTATGAATTTACACTCCTGCTAACAGCATATGAGGGTATCAGTATTTTTAATATTTGTCTTCTAGTAGTTGAGAAGTTATTTAAATTTGCTTCTTTTTTCTGGTAACTAGTGATTTAGCATACTGACAAATGTCTGCTGGTCATTTTTGTACCTTCCATGAATGGCGTATTCTTTTTCTTTGCCACTTTTTCTCTTATAGTTTTGGTCTTTTCCTTATTAATTTGTATGAGTTCTTTATATATTAAGATATTAACTCCATTGTTTGGAAAATTGCTATACAGAGTTAGTTTTTAGTTGGTCAAATATATCAGACTTCTAGAATGAGTTGTGATTTTCAGGTCTGTTTAAAGAAGTCTCCCCCCACCAACTGTAAGCCCAGGATTGAAAGTATTCACCCATATTTTTTTCTCATCTTCTTAAGTTTACCTATATTGTATTTAATAAAATAAAATCTATCTAGAATTTATTTTAGTATAAGAAGTATTCTTCTCAGCTTCTGCTTTAAACACAGATTTAAACAAGCAATAAAGAAATTTTCCCATATGTTTCTTCTATATTACATGTGTTTTTACAACAGTCTAGCTGATGATTTTTTAAAAATCATTAAGCCCACCGAACCCATGTTCATCAACCTCTGTTCTGAGATTGTCAGAAATTAGGCCAATAGAAACACCTCTCATCCTTGATCCTATCATCCTTGAAACATCTGCAAATTTTTCTGCAGTTATAAATCCAAGTACAATGGAAATTCTTTTTTTTTTTTTTTTTTTGCACTGTGGCTAAAATAAGCCAGACCAATACTGCTTGTGTGAACAAGGTATAATTATTTTTTATTATGAAAATAAAACTTTGCCCTTCTGTGATACGCTTAGCTTTCCTTACATCCCCTGCAGTGGTAAGGACAGGGTAGAAGCTCTTTCAAAGAGAAGCCCAGGCCAGAAGACTTGGGATGCTTTGTCTTGGTAAGTCAGCAAGCTATCGAGAGAGCGCATGGTGACAGATGGCTGTGCTCTGAGTGCCTCTAACCACTGATCAGGCAATGGTCTCTGGTTGCAGGTTGCAGTGCAAGGCTGATTTTACATGTTAGCAGATATTGAGATCTTTGCACTTAACTTCCTGAGGACACCATTTTTAGGAGAGATTAATACCCTTGAGATAGGGTAAGAGAAGTGCTGACTACATTCTGCTGGGCTCATGTATTACACTGACATTGCAGACAAGCAATTCCCACTGGATTGTGGTGAGAGATTATTTCTAAGGGTGGAAGAAAAGTTTGCTCAGGGATTTGCCCAACCAGGCTATTGAAAATGTCGTCTTACAGTTCGGCTGAATGCAATGGCAATGTGCTAATTCACCTGTAATGCCCATATCTCTGTTCTACACTTTTACGCTTCTCTTGCAGTGGATGATAGCACTGGAGTTATAAACTGCATCTGCTGGAAGAAATTGAATAATACCAAATCCTCATCAGGTAATTTTATTTGCCACGCTTCTTTACCTTTACAGCTAACCAGTAGATTTTACTTAGGGTAGCTCAGCAGAGTAGCTGGAGTACTAATTTTCACATTTATTCATTGGTGAATTACATTGATCAACTTGAAGCACTACACCCAGAGCTTTGGCTGCTCTGCAAACTGATATTAGTGGGGAGCCAGTTGCTTTTCTTGCTCTCTTTTCTTTGGTGCTCACTTCCTCCTAAGCCTACAGGAATGTGAATAGGTTACTAGAAGTTTCAGTGTTTCATTTTTACCATGACATTATTCCACAAGTCAAGATAGTTTAGCCTAATTGCTGATCAGGTGAGAATCCCCTTGCTCTGGGCATATCACTTGACCAAAGCTTTTTTGAAAGCTTTTGCCCTGACATGGTTGCCACTAACATCTATGCTCCCATGATCTAAATTTTCTGAAATCTCTAGCTTGTTCAAACAAATATGCCAGGAGTTCTAAGACTGATGAGAAGGTAAGATAGGATTCCCTTGAAGTTAGCCGTTAAATAATATTAAATAATATAAACTAAAAAAGAACTTTAAAATAGTATATTGAACTCATTGACTATAACTGAAACAGCATTTGGAATTTCTTGAGTCTGTTTTAATAGTCCTTAGGTAGTTTTTTGAGTTGCATAAGTTCATAATATATATCAAAGTATATATTGTGCAATAGTGGTGATCATTTTTGGTTCTAGAGAAGCTATGGAAACTGGGGCCTTGTTTTTCTCTGTTTTATAGCATATGCATTATGATGCCATATACACTGGGGTTATTCAGTAAATATTACCTGCTCTGATATCTAACATCTACTATCTATGTCCTCCTGTTATACACGTGGTAAGAATGTGTAACACTTGGAGTAGTTTCTTTTTCTTTTTGACATTACCTGTCAGAATCTCAACTTCCTACTTTGACTGTACTGACCAGTGAGATGCTCCTTTGCTTAATTTTCTGATGTATTTATATTTAGAATTTGGCCATCACTGATGTATTTATATTTAGAATTTGGCCATCACTTTCATATAACTTTGGTATTCCTATTTCCTAATTTGGGAACATCTATATCAGTGGTACTACTTAGTACTACTTAGTACCACTAAGCTTTGCAGATTAGAAAAAACTTAAGGCAGACAACAGGTTTTTGTGCAGATATCTCACAGGTAAGAAATAAACCTATATGACAATCAGATATTTGAACTTTCATATATGTCCAGGGTATTAAAATTATTTGCAGATTTATGGTTGTGGTATTGTCACGATCTTCAATCAGAAGGTGTAGTTTCAATATGCATACTTGTTTTAAACCAAGGGTCAGCAGACATTTTCTGTACAGGGCCAGACAATAATTGTCTTCTGGTTTGTGGGCCATATGGTCTGCATCTCAACTGTTCAACACTGCCATTGTTAACACCAAAGCAACTATAGACAGTACATAAACAAACAAGCATGGTTGTGTTCTAATAAAACTTTATTTACAAAAACAGATTGTGGGTAGATTTGGTCCATGGGTTGTAGTTTGACTGTTGTTTTCGACATTGTTTTAATTTTCAAAATCAACTCTTTTTTTAAAAAATAAATGGCAGCAGAAATATTATATGATTCAGTAATTTTTTAGATAAAATGTCTATTAATACTGAAAAAAGTGAGATTTTTTAAATATCTGTAAGTAGATGAATAGATGAACAGTCACAGTTGGTAGCCTTAATCAGAAATTGCTTTGAGAATAAAAAGTGAGGGTAAGGGTGCAAGGAGAAAGCCTGAAAGTGATTCTCATCATGTTATATATGAAGTGATATTTTAAAATTGTTCCCAAATAGCCCATTCTCTCCTTTTAATTTAATCGCCCTCGGTTTTAAAGCTTTCCACTGGAAAGTGTCCATTGAAGACTAATTTTTTTAAACGAAATTTAGTCTGAGTCAAAATCATGTTCTAGTCAGTTACAGTATAAAAATATAATATTAACTCCTATAAATGTCACACTGATTGTACCATTTGGACTTAGCTTATGAGAAAAGTTAAGAAAGCTTGGAGCTTAATATTAGAATTTTAAAGAGGATTTATCTTCCAGCGTGGAATAGGCTACTTAAAACGAAATTCTGTCAGGCTCCAACTATCTCATTCTACTCATTAAATTACACAGCTTGAGCCCTTCTTTTGGCAGTTTGGTTCACCCTTTAAATGAAAGCTGAGCCTCTTTTTCTCAGACCAGCCCTCAGTCTGATCATTTCAGCAGTGCTGTATGAAGCATTTATTATCACCTATAATGTCTGAATCATGGCAGTGAAATTTATAAATACTTTTAAAGTTCAGCCTAAATGGAAGAGGACTTAGGGATAGGAACCCAGACAGAATAACTTTTTAAAAAGTAATACTTGGGTATTTTCTGAAGAAACCCAGTAAGTTGAGTAACATTAATGCTGATTGTGTCTAGATTCCAAGCTCTTGGTTACTGGTCTATGCAAAGTTCTCCGAGCTCCTTAGGTTGCTGTTTCCCTTACTATAGTCAGTATGTTAAAAGTAATAATGCCTTTGCACATTACAGAGCCATGGTTATCTAAGTTGTGTTAGATTAAGAAGCACAAAATTTGATCAATAGACCATTATTCATTCCATTATAGGAACCCTAGTATATGACAAAGCAGAAATAATACAACAGCAGGAAATAAGTAAGCATTTAACAAATGTTGTTGGTTCAAGTAGATAACAATATTAAAAAAGAGGTAACTGTGATCACTGTCTTACAGCTTACATAAAATAACCCAAAGAAGATAGAGTTGTGTATTTATCACAATAAGTATGGGGGTATCTATGTTAAGCTCTTATATGTTAAGCTGTTAAAGCAATGAAAGCTATCATCAGTGACAAGAGGGATAAACTAAAACATTTTTTTCAAACTTTTATGTATTAAAATTAAATCAAATAAACATAAAAAAGAAAGCAGTGGAATGGGGAGAGTGGATGTAATAAGCATAACTGATAAAGCTTCCCTGCATTTTTTTCAGAAATGAACATAAAGTGTTCAAAAGAGATGAAGGGCTTATACATAAAGAAATGCAGAGAGCAGATCATCTTATATAAAAACACATGGTCTCTCTGGCAATTTAAAAGCAAAAATAAAACATTATAGAATCATTATGTATTTTTTAAGGTGTTAAAAATCCAAATGACTGAAGCCAGTATAGGAGCTGCAAGCCCACACACATTGCTGGTGACACCTTGTAAAAAGAGAATGGTTTGATTGGGGTTTTTTGGCAAACATTCTGATAATATGTAAGGAACTCTAAACCTGTTTATACTTTTCTATCCAGTAATCCCCAATGAAAGACCCCAAAGAAAACAAAATTTTTGTCTTGAGGGCTTAATTGTTCATTTTCACAAGTAGCTGACATTTATTGAATGTTTCCTATAGATCTGACATTGCGCTAAGCTCATGATGTAAGGGTTAACTAAGATCATACACAACAGCTCCATATGTGAAGGGCACTGTTAAATCCTCATCATAACTGAGGAAAGAGGTACAGCAAGATTAAGCAGTCTGCCCAAGGTCACAAAGCTAATAAGAAGTGACCTGACATTCAAGCCAGGTCTGTCTGACTCCCTTTACCCAAGCTGACCTCTCAGCCCCATACAGTGGTAGTGATAAAAACCAAAATAAAAAATTATGAAAGAAGGAAGAAATATTTAACGAGATTAGCTGAACAAACTGTGGCATATGAACATGACAGAATGCTATTTTGTTATTTAAAATGCTGAGTTGTATAGATTCTGTGGATACATGTGTGTATTTGAAGTGATGCTAGACAGAAAAACAACACAAAATTGTTTACACACATGAGCTATAACCATGGAAGATATAATTATACTCACGGGTCAGGCAGCAGAGAATAAAGAATAAGCAGGAAGGCTCTGGAGTCAGAGACCGCCAGGGTTTGAACTCCAGCTTTGTTGCTAACTAGTTATTTTACTGTGGGCAAGTTGCTTGACCTCTGTGTGACTCAGTTTCCTCATCTGAAAAATGGGACTAATAATAAGAGTGGTTGTGAGGATTAGATGCACTGATAGGTTATAAAGTCCTTAGAACAGAGAGAGAGAGAAAGAGAAGGTTAGCCTAGTTACTCAACAAAGAAAAGTGAGAGAGATTAGGGTGTTGAGCACCTTGGTGGAAAATCAAACTCTGGCCAATTTGCCTTCCCCGTAAACAACGACAAATGGAGACTCTTGGGCACCTTTCCCCTCAGGCCAGGCCTCTGTCTCCCAGCAAGGACACTTTAAAGGGTTGTTTAGAGCTATTCCCACCAAACCCGGCTGAACTCACACAGAATTCAGCTCAGGCAGGTGTAGAGCCCTTTGCACAGGCGATGCAGGGGTAGGAAGGAAGACAACGGAACTCACCCACTGGGTTGTCAAGCCTTATGCCTTTTATCCAGTAGAGGATTTCGAAAGATTACGCAGATTTCCTACAGTAGAGCAACCAATCAGAAGTAGAACAAATAAATGTCTCATGTCGGTCTTACCACAGACTCTCTCCCAAATGTGGTGAAGTGATTTTGTTACGCATTTCTCTCCTTCCTTCTGGCCCCAACAACTACAGCTGCTCCGAGTGCAAGAGAGCTGAGCTTAACCTCACAGCTTAAGAAGCTGCAAGAGACCATTGCACAGAGGACAAAGGTAGAAATTGGGGACATTATCCGGATCAGAGGTCACATCCGCATGTACAGAGGAGAGCGAGAAATTTACGCTACTGCTTATTGTAAGCACAAGATATCTCTGCCAAATTGGTTGTTATTCTGTGTGTGTGTCCAGTAAACTCATTCAGCGAAAAGTCAAACTTCTAAAAAGTTCAAATAAAAAGATTTAACTCTAATGAAGGAACAACATGCTTTCTTTAGAAAAGTAGCATTTCTTAATTTTATTTTGAAGAGGTCACTATAAATAAATTGGGAAAGAAAACAAGTGATTCATTGCATATGGCTGACAAATTGTATTCAACATTTGGACCCCATAGTAGAGTCTCTGAGTGTGAATCCATTTAGGGAAGAGTGTTCATAGTCTTCAAAATGACGGAAATTTCTTGAACACCGTTGAGTCCATTAACTTTGAAAAATAACAACTAATCAGAAGTGTGACAGTTCTCTGTCATCTGAGTGGTGCCCTTTGCACCGCTCTGGCTGGTTTGTCCTTGGAAATCTCAAGGACAGCCCAGTTGTCCACCATTGTACCAGATCAGTGAATACGCTCATGCGCTTTCCCTAGCCCTGGTCTCCTCTGGCCATGCCTGTGTCACTTAGGGTATCGCATCCCCTCTCGCAGGATGACTGGGAACCATTCAGTGCGTTTAGACTGCGATCCTGGGCATCCTTGAAGAAGGAGACCCACCAAGTGCTTCGTTTACTGTTGTCCTGGCAGCAGTCTGGACGTGGGAAAGAACTAATCTCAGTGTAATTTCTGTGGCCTGCTTTCCCCTGTGGCTTGTTAGATAAAGTGGATGATCCAGTGTGCAACATTCAGATCGCAAGGATGCTTGAGCTGCCCACCATCTACAGGAAAGTTTATGACCAGCCCTTCCGCAGCCCAGCCCTAGAGAAAGAAGAGGCACTGAGGTAAGTTCTGGACTATGACTGCCGAGGATGTGACCACAGCAATGAGGCCAACCAGTGGGATCCCAGGTTCTGGGGTGGGCCTGGGTCCAAATCCTGAACTGTCCACTCACTCACTGTGGAGCTCCAGGCAAGTGTGTCCCCGCTCTGGATGCCTCAGTGTCCTCACCTGTAAAGTGAAGGTGTTAATAGTGCAGGTGTTCTAAGGTTTGGTAAGGAAGATATATGTGTAATTGGAGTCTCCGAAGGAGTGGAGGGGGGAGCAGAGAGAGAATATTGGAAGAAATCATGGATGAAAATTTTCCAAGTTTGATGAGGACTGTAAACTCACAGATCCAAGAAGCTCAGTGAACCCCAAGGCAAGAAGCGTGAAGAAAACTGTGCCAAAAGGCACATCATAATCAAAGAAACAATACCAGCCGCTCTCAACCAGGGATGACTTTATTCTCTTTCAGGGACGGAAAAATAAACAGGAGGAGTAAGAATATATGTATATTTGTTACTATACGCCTCAAATAACTCAGAGGAGACAGAAATGATCATAGTGGCTGCCGGGAGGGGGCGGCCGGTGGGAGGGGGACTGGAAGGTGGGAGGGGGACTGGAAGGAGGATAGAAAGGAGACTCTTCACCATGTACCCTTCCATTTTTTAAACATATTCAATATTTATAGATTACATATTCCAAAAAATTATATTAAAAAAAACCCAAACTGTAGACCTGTATAAAGTAAAACGTGGAAGTTTTCCATTTTCCTGTCTCCCGCCTCAGTACCATTCCCCGGAGGTTACCACTGTGCAGAGGTTGATGTGTGTATCCTGTTAGGCGTTTTTCTTCGGTTGCATACACAAGCATGAATATCCACCCACGTACTTTGTGGGTTGTCCTTTGCTTCCTTACAAAAATGGCACCGTTCCTCACATGCTATTCTGCATCTTGACTTTTTTCTAAATCTATCACGAATATCAGTTCCTGTAGTTCTGCCTCATCCTTTTAAACAACCACACAGTGTTCACTGGGTGAACTGCTCCTTATGTCAAAAACGTGCATCAGTATAGTATTGCGCTTGCTAGCTGTTTCAGTTTTACATGCGTCCAAATGGAACAAAAGTAACAGATTTCTGCAGGGCTTGTTAAAACTTTCTCCCAGCAGCAATCCAGGCACCCTGGACCTTGACAGTCTCACGTATCTGCTGAGTGAAAAAGTCAAAGAATTCCTTGTGGAGAACAGAGTGCAAACCTTTTACCAGCAGGAGTTGGAAGCGGTGGAGTCCCTGCTGTCCCTTGCCAACCAGCCTGTGATTCACAGCGACTGCTCCGGGCGAGTAAGTGTGGCATGACCATGTGAGAATTCGAGGCCCCTGCCCCACATCTGCAGGTGGAGGGTGTGGGTGGACATGACTGTGGCATTGAGACTCACAGGGTGTACCCGGAGTATAGAGGTTATGTTGATTCTATTCTGGAAAAGTCACTGACCACTGAGAATTTGAAAGGAGAATGCACGTGCATGCCCTTTTCCCCTCCTTAATCTCATAAAGCTTAATCTTCAGGTAGAAAAAAAAAATAAGGTTCATAGCACTTAGTACTCACTGAGATGGGTATTTAATGTCAGCAGGAACCAACTGAGGGGGAAATAGATGAGAAGAGCTAAAATTATCCTTCCAAGATTATTTTTTGATCAGCAAGATGATTCTTGAACTCGAACCAAGGTTTTTAATGACTTGTTCTGTCTTCTCCAGAATAAGGTTGATCTATCGTGTCTTAGGAGTTTGAATAAAGATCAAGTTGTATTCAGTCTGGTTTATAAGTAAAAATTGCAGGGAATACTCAAGTAATTTTTTATTCATCCTAGAAAGAGCTGTCCTCTTTTTTTTTTTTTTTTTCTTTTTTTTGCGGTATGCGGACCTGTCACTGTTGTGGCCTCTCCCGTTGCGGAGCACAGGCTCCGGACACACAGGCCCAGCGGCCATGGCTCACGAGTCCAGCTGCTCCGCGGCATGTGGGATCTTCCCGGACCGGGGCACGAACCCGTGTCCCCTGCATCGGCAGGCGGACTCTCAACCACTGCGCCACCAGGGAAGCCCTGTCCTCATTTTTTAACACCCATAGCGTTAGAGGCGAACTCAAGTTGTTTGGTGTTTACTTATTTGCTTGGAATTAAGAATTATCTGAGACTTTGGTTTTAGGCTTTCCTTTTCATTGCAATTCCTTAGTTTTCTTGTTGCTGTAACACGACTTGTATTTATTTATTTCATTTATTCCACTGGGAATGATCTCTGCTTGAATGTCACCTTCTTGCCCTCCCTGACCTTCTGCTCTGATAGCCACCAGCTTCCTCACTGTGTTATCACTCTGTTTCCACATTTCGTGATAGCACTGGTATTTATTTGTTTTGTGTGCCTATTACCCCACCAGAATTTAAGTTCTCTAAGAGCAGAGCCTTTGTCTGTCTCATTCTTTGCTCTCTAGAACGCCTAGAACATGGTTGGCATAAAGTATGCTCTCCACAATTATTTGTTGATTGAAGGAATGAAAACTTTTAAAAATTCAAATAGTCTGGGAGTTCCCTGGTGGTCCAGTGGTTAGGACTCGGTGCTTTCACTGCTTTCGGGCAACTAAGATCCTGCAAGCTGTGCGGCACAGCCAAAAAACAAAACGAGAAAACAAAAATAGATAAAAAAATAAAAATTCGAATAGTCCAGGAAACTGTCTAGTTTTTAAGTTTCCTTCCCATCCTCCTTCCTCATCCCCTTTCTACAGAGACGAGCACCATCTCATGAGTATCCTTCTGGAGATAATCTGCATATATAAACTAGAAGTAGTTGTATCCCCTTTTTTACACAAATGGTATCATACTAAACACTATATCTACCTAGGTTTTCATTGGACAGCATGTCTTATAGGTCCTTTCCTAGCCATACTTACATATTTGCCACTCTATAATAATCTTTTATTATGTGTATCATAATTTCCTTAAGGGGTCTCTCCATTCCTGGACTGTTTAGATGTTTTCTAGTCTTTTGCCATTACCACCAGGGCTGCCATGAGTACCCTTGTGAAGTAACATAATTATTCTTTGTGATTCTGGTGGAACAGATACCAGGTCTCTGTCCCGACCTCCTAAGCATGACCACTGCTTCTCAGTTTCATTCGTGAACTTGATTATCTCTTCCTGTCACCAGGCTGTGTGCCCAGTGACCCGCAATTTCATACATGGAGATGAGGGATATTGTTTCAGGAAACACCGAGGTGGGGAGGGTCAGGACTGGCCGCTTTGTTCTGTGCCACCGTTGCTTCTGCACAGTTGTAGCTCCCCAGCTGTCCACTGACAGCAGGAGTGACCTTCTTCCCATTTAATCATTTAGAGGAGGCTCAGTGCCAACTTGGCCTCCCAGGACTTCTGACCACTCTCTTGGCATGTTTAGAAGGAAACGTTGAAGCTTAGCAAAGACCACATCTTCCTGTGAGCCAGCTCTTCTCCAATAATTAAGTAGGGAGAATTGAGGACTAAAAGGCCCCTCCATTCAGAACATTCCAGGGAGGACTTTTGGTGTGATATCTTTTTGAGAATGCTTAGAAAAGAAATTTGTATCTGCCCGGTGCTATATGTTTAAAAAAAATGAATATGGCAGTATATCTGTTTTGTCTTTGGAAACTACTTTTCCATCAGTTATGAATTATTCCCTCACATGGCTCTGGTTGGGGAGGTCAGTGTCATTAAATTGAATTCTGTTTAATAGAGCCTGGGAGACCCAGGATGCTTTACAATGATGGTGAAACCTTAGACCCTTTGGCACTTTCTGTAGTCATACAGATGAAAGCTTAACAAACAAAATCATTGTGATGTTGTCTTAGCCTAGAGGCTGGGGAGAGTGGGTTTGAATGTTTTCCCCCTTTCTTTTTTTCCACAGTGGCCCTTTTTAGCAAATCCAGAAACATGATAAACAAACCTTGCAAAACCATTGTTTCTTTGACAACTCGATAAATGTTGAGTTTGTTTGGGAATGAAGACTATATATATATTTCAGAGATCCACCCAGTTCCTGACCTGCCACAAGGAGAGGCCCGCGAAGGCTCAGCCCGTTCAGCTGGTCACTGTTTTTGTTTCTGAACAGTTTCGGTTTCCTGAATGGGATGAGTCTGTCATTGCTCTTTAGAAAAAGACAAGAAAGACACACATCTCAGGCCAGGAAAAGCTGCTAGCTAGAGGGACGATTGGAGGCTTTATCCTTGAGCCTGTGTCTTTATAACCAGCAGGGAATTATGTCCTGAGTTCAACTGAGGCAAATGTTTTTGGAAAGGAAGCTTCACATATTGTTTATATTTACAGAGAGCCTTTTCTGCTGGGTCCTCCTTGTTCACAGCTGAAACTGCTTTTACTCTCCCAGGCCTCACACCCTCTCTTCCTGCTGCTCGATCTGCTGAAATCTGGGAGGAGGAACCGGGCTTTCTGTATGGTCTGAGGATAACCAAGAGTCATTTTTAATGACAGGAATAATCGTGCAACAACATTTCTAGTCAGTTTCCAATTTATTTCTATATTGGGAAGAGACATAATAAACTCGACCCTTAGGATCCTTTTATTAAATTGACCAAAGAAGACGAATCTCCTGAGAATTATGAAGATGAAATAGTTATAAAGTCACGTAGGGGAGCCTGTGTTGGGTTGAGCATTCTTTTCCTAAGTGAGAGCACTCACGTATGACATTAAAAACAGCTTTGCCTCAAGTCCCCCTGAATAAAAAGATATGTGATTGAGGATTGCTGGGAGAGGTGTTTATTCTAAACACACCCAGATAGCTTTTCTGCCCGTGGGAGTCATCAAATATTTCTCAACCTGTTCTCCCTTCAGAGAATGGGTGCTGTCATAACCTGGAGTGCTTGTCAACTCTCAGGCCCTCCTGTTCCACTGGCCAGGTTCTCCAGGCCTGTTCTGTTGAGAAAAAACCTAGGCTATTAATTAAGAACGTTAGTCTCTCCTGTTCAGCTCAGGAGAGCACATTTGTGAAACATCACCAAGATCTGTTAGATTCAAACAGTGCCTGTCTGGGAGGCCTCTTCTAGAAAGCGAAGATTTCTTTCAGGATGGAGCTGTCAATACTTGAGGCCATTTGGGAGTTCCTTTCCTCTCCCTGTCACTCTGTGGGAATGTCATCAGCAAATCCCAGGCCCGCTCTCTGTTTCAGCATCTGTGAGTGCTGCCCCAGACAGCCTCCATAAGGACCTTCCGTTAGAGGAGTAGGACTGTGCCTTCAAACACTCTTTTGGAAGCTTTGCCACGTTTCTTTGGCACTCTGATCTTTCTAGTATCTTGATGTATTTCTGTCACATTACAAATGGATCTGTACCTTGAAGGACACTTATTACTTACCACTTCCTTTGTTTTAGGAATGAACTGAAAATCCCTAATGGAATAATTAGGAGGATATCGCCTACCTATATGGGGTATTTCCCCTGAATACACACATATTTTCTCCATCACCCACTACGTGTCAGGGAGCAGGTGGCCAAGATGAGTCCCCAACTCAAGAAGCACACAGTCTAGTTAACCATGGTAGGACATAGCTGAAAACCTGGCCTCCTTGAAATAAGAAGTAGGATGACCTGGTAACCTCTCTAGGCAAACTTGACTCTTAGAGAAGGGAAGGGATACTGAAATTGAGGAGAGAGCAAACTGACAGCAGCAGAGGGTCCTTCCTCATGGTGTTCTCGCTTCCCCTAGGGCCCTGTCCACCTTCAGCCCATGGACCCTCCCCTTTGACAGATCTCTGCACAGCTGTTTGTCTCCACTGTCCTCCATTTAAAATAAGGAGTCTATTTAACACTCTCTATGTGCTGGAATCCCCAACTTATTATTTCAATGTGTGTAAAATTCTTTGATATCCGTAGGAAGAAGCTGTATATATGACCACAATTTTAATGAAAAAAGTGAGCCAGTAGGTATAGAATTTTTGGCTCTGTATAAAAAAATAAATCAAAGATTGTCATTTTGATATTTCCATTTTATATCGTTGAGTTAAATGAATTAAACAAACAAAAAATCATAACCAAAGTGTGGAACAGTTATCAAGTGTGATTCTGCCAGAGCAAACTTCCCAATCCTCCTTAAATACCATCCTGCTAGGCCCGTGCATACCTGAATCTTTTTGACTCAGTAGATAAAAAGCCTGTTGGGTGAATTTATAACCAGTTGGTCTAGGGAGTTGCCCTCAAGTGCTGTAAGATGGGACTTATTTCTTTTCTTCCTTTATTTTTTTTTCCTTTTTTTCTTCCTACAGATGGATTTTAAGAATGACACCACTTCCAAGGCAATTCATAGTATATTTAGGAACGCTATAAAGCTGCTGCAGGAAGAAGGACTTGTTTTCCAGAAAGATGGTGGTTTTGATAACCTGTTCTATGTAAGAGACCTGCAACTTAATTTTTTTTCTTAGCTTCAATTGCAAATATATTTATTACTTAGGATTGTTTGTTTCCTGTTTTTTAAAAATCCATCATTAGGAGGTACATAAAGTAAGGAGTGAAAGTTGGCCCTTATCTTTCCTCAAGATACCGCTTTTAACAGTACAGCCTTCGGCACACATGTAAATATAGGCTCCTGTTACCAAAAAGATGTGATCTTCCTCTAAATCAGGATTTCTCAACTTCAGCACTGTTTGAGCCAGATGATTCTTTGTTGTGGGGTGTTGTCCTTTGCATTGTAGGATGTTTGGCACATCCTTGGCCTTCACCTACTAGATGCCGGTAGCAGCACCCCCAATTGTGGCAACCTAAATGTCTCCAGACATTGCCAAGTGTCCCCTGACCCAGTTGAGAACCACTGCTCTAAATAATGCTCAGCAACTTTTGGGGATGCCAGAACAGCACATCACAGTCATCTTTCCATATTAGTCCTTATAAACCTGGCTCATTCTTTTTGACATCTGCATGGTTTTCCCTATTGTGGGAACTTGCCGTAAATTGTTTAACCACTTATCTCTGATGGCCATTTATATTGTTTCCAACTCTTGTCCTCACATATAGTGTTGCTATGTCTGTTTTCTTGTGGACTTATGTAAGTATTTCCGTAAGATCGACTCTTAAAAGAGGAATTGCTGGAGTAAAGGGCATGTACCTTTAAGCTTTTGATTGCCTCCTTCAAAAGTGGTGCCAATTAACATTCCCACCAGGGGTAGAGGTGCTTGCCTACCTCATACTTTGAGTTAAAAGTTCACCTCTCACTGCCTACCTTTAATGTGGGAGGAACCAAGCTGATACTGATGTTGTTATCGATATTGATGTCCACTTTAGTAGCATAGATGTAGCTTCAGCTGTGAGCGATTCTCCTGAAGACAGATCAGAACTCTGGGAGATCCCAGAAGCCTCGTTCTTTACAGGCATGATTCCCGAGGGGAAGCTTTCCTTAATAGGACATTTTCTCAATGTTGATTAACTCTAGTGATTCCCCATTTTAGAACATTTTAAAAAATTAAGATATGTTTTAAATACTATTTAAATAACTTCTGAAAAGGGTATTCTATTCCGTATAAGGGTGAGGGCAGCCCCCCCACCCCCGCCGCCTCCCAGGACGGGCAGGCCTGGTGGGAGCTGATTGCTTCTTGTGGTTGGAGAAGCTCATGCTGGGCAACTCACCCTAACACCCTCCCACCCCCACCCGCACCCTCACATCGCCCCGCGGGAGGCTCTCCTGGGTCAGTAGGAAGCTGCTCTTCCTGAGGAACAGCAGACCATGGGCAGCAGTCCAGGGATGAGGTGTGGCAGGGCTGGGGCACTTCCTCCTGTGAATCAGTCTGAGCTGGAATGGGGTGATCCAGCTCTAATAGCTCTATTTTCCTCAGCAGAGCCACCCCCCTTCTCTGACTTCACTCCCCCCTTCTACCTCAACCCTGGCTCCTAGGTTTCTGTTTTCCTGAGGGCATTGCCTCAGGGACGGAGTTATCTTTTCTGTGTATAGTGCTTTCCAGCTTTCAGCAGCTCTCCCACATTACCTTACTTAATCTTCCCAACACCCTGTAAGTCCAGAGAAGGGTCCTTATCAGAACCCCCATTCTTAAATCTGCTCATTCCAAGTCCGTCAGTCCAAGGAGCATCCTGACATATGTGTGTGTTTGCGTACTTTTTTTTTTTCTCCTTCTTCCTTCTTTCCCCTTCCTTTCTTCCTCTTTTTTCCTTTCTTTCTCTTTGATTTTAGATTTACTGTTGAACATGAAGGTGAAACCCATTTGCTGGCTGCTTCCCTCTTACTGGAGCTGGCTGAGAAAGGAACCTTGGTTATGTTTGCCTCTGAGAACAGACAGTGTTTCCATTCATAAACTAGATTTACTCTCTTGCTAGCTTTGCCTTACAGTTTTATTTCCTTTGTTTTTTTCCCTATGGTTGGGTGAAGGAATGTGAAACCCAAGATAGAAAAGAAGAAACACAAGAGGAAAGAGTCCTCGGGTTTGATCACTTGTGCCTCCCTCAAGAACATAATGAATAAGAGAAATTTTATGAATGTGTTATGAATATTTAAGACGAAAGTTGCTCCTTGAAAGCAAGGGATTCCAGCTTTTCTTTCTATCATGGCCCCCCGTAAACCACCTCCCGAGGGAATATGCCTGTGGGTGGACTTCAGAGCAGTGAGCTACTTAGGGACAGAACTGGTTTGACAGCTGGCCACGTATCCAAAGCGACACTCTGTTGGTGTAGGAATGAGGATCGTTATGAAATCTTTATAAACTATCCTAAAGACCAATTTGGGTGTCTGGATGACACAACCTCTGTTTTACTTAACATTTCTTTCCGAACTGTTTTTCCCATTTAGGTAACCAGAGAAGACAAAGAATTACACAGAAAGATCCACCAGATCATTCAAGAAGACTGCCAGAAACCAAACCGTAAGTGGTGTAACGTACATGTGTCTCGGTGCCCTGGAGGGGGCTGTTCCCTCCCGGAGAGCACTAGGTGGAGAGTCAGGAAACCTGGGACCTTTCCCAGTAACAACTTGGAAGCATGACTGGTCAGGATACCTGCCCTCTCTGAGCCTCAGACTCCTCTTTTCTAAAGTGAGCGTTAGCCTTGCACAGTTGTTCTGACGTGGGCCACACGTAAGAGTCAACCTTGGAGCTTTTTTGAACATACAACACTCAGGTCCCACCCCTAGGGATTCTGATTCACTAGGGGCTGGGATGGGGGCTAGACAGGTGAGCTCCTCAAGTGATTCTGGTACAGCAAGGTCAGCTGTTACGCTAGGACTTTTTAACATCCTTCTGGTTTCGTGTCCTCTGTAATTTGTGTTATTTCTTGTTCCACTCTTCCTTCTTGTCTGTGAACCCAAACCTGACATTTTCCTCTCTTCTAACATCAAGCCCTTCAAGGTTGGCAGGAATGGTTCTAGACATTACAGTTTGTGAACAGTGTAATTCAGTCATCCTGAAACCTGATAATTTGCAAAAGAAATGGTTGAGAAAATAGTTGGTTTTAGTGGAGTTAGATCAGCCCCTAGTGGTTAGAAACTCAAACTGTAGAGAGTCTGATAACAGACATTACCATTTTCATACTAGTTAGAAAGAGAAGAAAACATTAGTCCTATGTTTAAATCCTGTGTAAACTGATCGCTCTTAAAGGTGACTTTTCAAAGTCTACCTTTTGCAAACATGTGCTATTAACAAATGTTGGCATATGTCAACAAATGACGCCAGAAGAAAAGTGGAAAGGCTTGTTAGTGAACACAGGCCTCCTCATTCTGCTTTCTTTCTCTCCCGGGAGGTCCACCTCCAGTCCTTAAAGCCCATATATCCCTGGGGCCTGGACCTGTTCCAGGCTGAGTCAGCAGGTGGAGCTGGACCAGATCTCCAGCCCTGGTGTTTATGGTATGCAGCCTTATTTAGCTTTTAAGGACCCATGAAGTCACCTCCCAGAGTGGTGTGACAACAGGTCTTAAAATAAACTAAAAGCAATCTATTATTTTAATGCAAGGTTTCTAACTATTGTTCACTTCATTCAGAACAAGAAGGATAAATATCCTTTAGTTGGGGGAAAAACCACCTATCCACAATTTAAGGAGCTTTTTAGAGCTGTGAAATGTGGGATTCTTCAACCAAGAAGGGATGAGACGAGAGGCTTGTCCCCAGGTGACATTCCTGCGCTCATGGTAGTCCCAAGCCATCTGGCTAGACTCTTATTTTGATGTGTATTAGGAGCAGGGTGGATTAAAGTGATCCTAGGGCCTGCTGAAGCAAATGAAAGCAATTCACACTTCATTTCTTAGGAGAACCAAACAGCCTTGGTGACCTGAGGGTCTATAAAGTGGCAGGTTTTATAGCCACTTCTAATCCACAGGCCAGCTCCTGCTTTGGTGAGTGTGTGTGTCAAGGTGGACAGGCTCTGCTACTCAGTCTGTAAATGGGAGCCTTTAAAAAACATAAGCCAATTCCCTGGAACTAGTAAACTCCCAGGAGACAAATTCTGGAGCATGAGTAACTGAGAATACCAGTAAACATACCTTGTAGGAACTGTCAGAGTCTGTTGCAGCCACCCCTTTTCATAAGAAATACCTATGACATTAAAACATTATTCTGAATAATGTATGCACAGGATAAAAAGTCAAAAAGTACAAAAACACACACAGAAAAAGTGAGACTCCCTCCCAACACCGAGCCCCAGGCTCTGTGTTCCCCTTTCCAAAGGCAGTGGGTGTTACTAGTTTCTGGCATATCCTTCTAGAGATGTTATATGCACTTATAAACATGTTTGTATAGTTTATCCTTTCTAAAAAACATAAGTGAAGCTTAGCATACAATACTCAGTGTTTTATACCTTGTATTTTAAATCTAACATTGGCTTATAGCAGTCATTCAGCAACAGTATGTGTAAAAGTACCTGTCTTTTTAGTGGCTGCACAGTATTCCACTATATGTATTGATAGATATTCGACCATTTATTTAAGTATTCCTACTGAACCTTTAGTTTGTTTCTAACCTTTCAGTATGAAACATAGCATTGAGTTTTCCTTGGCAGTACGATTGGTAGGACAACTTAAAACCTTTAGTCACTTATGAATATTTCAGCAGAGGGTAAACCTACAATAATGAAAGGATTATAAACATGGGCCAGTTTTAGGTCCCTAAAGCACTGATAGAGGGTTTGTCTGAAGATGGCCCACATGGCATAGTTGTGAAGAGCTGGGCTCTGGAGCCACATTGCTTGGGTTTGAATCCCAGCTCTGCCACTTTGTAGCTGTGTGGCCTTGAGCAAGTCTGTGCCTCAGTTTCTTTATACGCAAAGCAGGGATAATAATCGTACCTACATCGTGGGTTGTTATGAGGATGAAATAGATTGGTGTTTTATGAAACTCTTAGGAATATGGCAGAGTAAGAACACCAAGAATCCTTCCCTCCACTTAGACAACAATTGCATCTGTCTGATGTAGCTATTTTGGAACTCTGGAGTCTATCAAGGCTAGCAACTTCCAGAGGAAGGTTTGGACAATGAATTGGGGTTAATTTCAGTCAATTTTCTGATGTTAGTAGCAGCTACTCATCCCCCATCCCCAGCTACATGGCAGGCGGCTGTGCATGTGTTTCTGGAGCAGTTTGTACAGAGCTTGTGGGAGCTAGCGGGGGCAAAAAGGACCCAGTCCTCCATGTATCAGGGATTTGTGCTCTGATCACCAGTTGCTGCTTCTGATCACAGAGGTGCAGGCAGAGAGGTGGGTGGCCATTGTTGTACCTCCTCCCATTGTTGTAAGCTGCTCACCCAACAGCTGAAGTGACTTCCAGGGATTTAAAAGACTGGCACCCTTTTTTTTTAAACCCCTTCATTTCTCTTTTTTACCCCTTTTGGAGCCAGAAAAGAAAGACTAGAACATTCAAAAGCACCTGCATATATGGGTAAAATTAGAAAGCGACCACACATGCCCAGGGAAAGGCACAGGCTCAGAAATAGACCTGAGAAGACCTTAGGTTTCCATCTCAGGCTGCTCCTTGGCACAGAGACAGCCTACAACAACCAAAAAAATAAAAACAATAACAAAAAGCAGCAAACACCACAGAAGGTGAAGAATCTAATCTCCAGAGTTACCACATTATTAGATTCAAATGTCCAGTTTTCAACTAAAAATGAAAGACATTCAAAGAGACAGGAAACTATGGCCCATTCAAAGGGAAAAATAAGCAACAGAAACTGTCCCTGAAAAAGACCTGATGGCAAATTTATTACCCAAAGACTTTGAAACAGTTGTCTTAAAGATGCTTAAGAAAATGATGGGTGAACAAAATAGAAAATATCAATAAAGAGATACAAAAACTAAAAAGAAACCAAAAAGAAATTCTGAAAAGTACAGTAACTGAAGTGAAAAGTTTACCAGTGATTCAAAGGCAAATTTGAGCAGGAAAAATCTGAAGAAAAGTGAACAGAACCTAAAGAACCTGTGGGACATCATCAAATGGACCAACATATGCATTGTGGGAGTCCCAGAAGAAGAGAGAAAGGGGCAGAGAGAATATTTGAAGAAATAATGGCTGAAAACGGCCCTAATAGGATGAAGGACATGAATATAAACATCCAAGAAGCTCAGTGAACTCCAATTAAGATGAACTCAAAGAGAGCACACCAAGACACATTATAATCAAACTTTTGAGAGTCAAAACAAAAGAAAGAATCTTGAAAGCTACAAGAGAAAAACAACTTGTCACATCAGTAAGATGATCAGATTTCTTATCTGAAACTTTGGAGGCTGGAAGGCAGTAGGCTGATATATTCAAAATGCTAAAAGAAAAATAACCTGTAAACCAAGAATCTTAGGAGCCTAATACACTTAAAAGAATTATTAGTCTGTGTTCTTGGGCACAGTGTATAAAGTTGTGGTTTTGTGACATCAACAACTGAAAGGGGTGGGAACAGAGCTGCAAAGGAGAAGGAACAGAGGTTTTATATATTATTGAAGTTAAACTAGAATAAATTCAAATTAGTGTGTTATAACTATAGGATGCTAAATGTAATCCCTGTGGTAACCACAAAGAAAATAGCTCTAGAATATACACAAAAGGAAATTTTAAACATTTCACTATTAAAAAAATCAACTAAACACAAAAGAAGACAGTAATGCAGGAATTGAGGGACCAAAAGCTATAAGGCATATAGAAAACAAATAGCAAAATGACAGAAGTAAGTCCCTCTTATCAGTAATTAGGTTAAATGTAAATGGATTGAACTCTCCAATCAAAAGACAGAGATTGGCAGAATGGATTGAAAAAAAAAACCCAAGAACTCCAACTATATGCCAACTACAAGAAACTCACTTTAGATCCAAAAGCACAGATAGGTTGAAAGTGAAAGGACAGAAAAATATATCCCATGCAAATAGTAACCAAAAGAGAACAGGGGCAGTTATACTAATATCAGACAAAATAAACTTTAAATCGAAATGTTGCAAGAGGGCTTCCTTGGTGGCGCAGTGGTTAAGAATCCGCCTGCCAGTACAGGGGACACGGGTTCGATCCCTGGTCCGGGAAGATCCCACGTGCTGCGGAGCAACTAAGCCCATGCACCACAACTACTGAGCCTGCGCTCTAGAGCCCACAAGCCACGACTACTGAGCCTGCAAGCCACAACTACTGAGCCTGCAAGCCACAACTACTGAGCCCACGTGCCACAACTACTGAAGCCCACGCGGCTAGAGCCCATGCTCCGCAACAAGAGAAGCCACGACAATGAGAAGCTTGCACACTCCAACGAAGAGTAGCCCCCGCTCACCACAACTAGAGAAAGCCTGCGCACAGCAATGAAGACCCAACACAGCCAATAAAGAAATAACTAAATTAAAAAAAATGTTGCAGGAGACAAAGAAGGACATTATATATTAATAAAAGGTCCAATACAGCCAGAAGACATAGTA